TTTTTTTTGGTGAAGGTAGGGGTACTATTAATCACAAGGGGGGGCCCCGGGTCTGGGGACCCCTTGTTTAAAAATCACCTTAAGCAGACCCCCCAACCGCAGCCCAGGGTTGTGGGGGAAAGGTTCGAACATTGTACAGATGTCAACTTTGCAGGTAGTTTTTTAAGGGGGCCCCCCCCGGGAAGGAATTTTAAATGAATTTTTTTTTTTTTTTTTTTTTCTTTAACAATAAAAAATTATTGCCCCTTAAAAAAAAGTACTTTTTGATTTTTTTAAATTTACTCTTTTATGTCCCTGAGTCCCCATACCCCTTTTTATGGGGAATAACTGGAATATAAGCTTCAAAAGGGAAATTTTTTAATTTACAAGTTCGAGTCTTATAACTTCATTTATTTTAATTTTAACAAACATAGGGGTGTTCAGCCCAACTATAATCAGTTGTTTCCGAATGGACCTTTTAAAATACGAATTTTTCAAAAATTCGTTTTGGGCTGATTCGGCGAATTCGCGGAATAAAATTCGATTTCGAGTCGAAATAATTCCTGCGAATTTAACTTATAAAAAGGTGTTTTCTAGGCTTCAGAGCCTTTATATTAGTGAGCAGAACACTGTCCCTTTAATTTAAATGCCCATGGAGTCTGCTGGGGAAGAGAATAATACTGTCAGTCAGTAAGACATGCAGATGAGTGCCGTCGATCTTGAGAAGCACCGCCACTTTCACACATTATGGGCAGTCACGGGGCCAAAACCAGAGAGTGGAGCCACAGTGTGCGGTGGAGGCAGCAGCAATGGAAGGCCCATAACAGCACCCTATGACAAAATGGAACCCACCTGCAGTGTGAGGAGTCCTGAAAGTGGCACATGTCAGGAGTGTGGGCGATGGAGGACAGCAGCAATGGGAGGCCGGTACAGAGACCCATGACACACTCTGGACCTGGCAAGCAGCAAGAGGAGGCAGTACAGGGCCCATGGCACAGATTACGGGGCCTGGCAGCCAGCAAATGGGAGGCCGTACAGGGGACCCATGACACACTCTGGACCTGGCAGCCGCATGAGGAGGCGGGTGGTACAGGGGCCCATGGACAGATTACGGGCCTGGCAGCAGCTGAGGGAGTCAGTACGGGGGCCCATGGCAGATTACGGGCCTGGCAGCAGCAATGGGAGGACGTACAGGGACCCATGACACATCTGGACCCTGGCGCTTCGCAGCAATCGGGGAGGCCCGCGTTTAATCTGCCAGCACCCTATGTCAAAATGGAACCCACCAGCAGTGTGACGGAGACCTGAAAGTGCACATGGCAGAGTGGTGGCGATGGAGACGGCAGCAAATGGGGGGCCGTACAGGGTGACCCATGACACACTCTGGACTGGCAGCAGAGGCAATGAGGAGGGCATGGGTCACAGGGGCCCATGACAGATTACGGGCCTGGCAAGCAGCATGAGGAGTCGGTACGGGGGCCCATGGCAGACTTACTGCCTGTGCAACGCAGACCCAACTGGGAGGCCCGTAATCTGCCAGCACCTGCTATGACAATATGGGAACCCACCAGGCAGTGTGTAGGAGACCTGAAAGTGGCACATGGACAGAGTGTGGCGATGGAGGGACAGCAGCAATGGGAGCCGTTACAGGGACCCATGACACACTCTGGACCTGGCAGCAGCATGACGGAGGCGGTACAGGGGCCCAATGGACTGATTACGCCCTGGCAGCAGCATGAGGAGAGTCGGGTACGGGGGCCCATGGCAGATTTAGGGGGGCCTGGCGAGCAGCAATGGGAGGCCCGTAATCTGCAGAACCCTATGACAAAATGGAACCCACCAGCAGTGTGAGGAGACCGGAAAGTGGCAATGGCAGTGTGTGGCGATGGAGACAGCAGCAATGGGAGGCCGTTACAGGTACCCATGACACACTCTGGATCCTGGCAGCAGCTGAGGAGGCAGTACAAAGGGGCCCATGACAGATTACGGGCTGGCAGCAGCACAGCATTGAGAGATCCGGTACCTGGGGCCCATGGCAGATTAAGGGGCCTGGCAGCAGCAATGGGAGGCCAGTACAGGGACCCATGACACACTCTGGGACCTGGCAGCAGCATGAGGAGGCGGTACACAGGAGCCCCAGACAGTTTCCGGGCCTGTGCAGCAGCATGACGGAGTCGGTACGGGGGCCCATGGCAGTTACGGGCCCTGGCAGCCAGCAATGGGGGGGCGCCCGTAATCTGCCAGCACCCTATGACATAAAAAGGCACCCACCAGCAGCTGAGAGGAGACCTGAAAGGGGCACATGGCAGAGTGTTGGCATGGAGACAGCAGCAATGGGAGGCCGTAACAGGGGACCCATGGACACACTCTGGACCTGGCAGCAGCAAGAGGTCCCGAGGTAAGGGGCACATGGCATGTGTGGAGTTGGCGAAGCGTAAGCAGCGTAAATTAGAAGGCCATACAGAGGCCTATGTTAACAAATTAATAACATGTTTGGGGCGATGATTCATGGCGGATTTAGTTCAGTATGTGTCAGGAACTGGTGGGTTTGAAATCCAGACTAATCCAGGCCTGATTCATTTTCACAAACGTGAGTCTCTCCACACTTTGGAGTGGACAGTCGTGTCCTCCGCGGAGTTACAATACCTCCTGCCGCACTAAAACACGCGCTCCGATGGCCACGCTACTGGGCGCGGGCATGACAGCCTTTCAATGGCAAATTCAGCTAGATGGGGCCAAAGGTCAAGTTTCGTTGCCCAGTAGTCAAGGGGATTGTCTACCTCGGTTGGCAGGGTGCTGTCCAAGTAGGCCCAAAGCCTGTTGTTTGAGGTCCTGCTCCAGGTCCACCTGATGCTGCTGCTGCTGCGGCTGGTTAGTAGTTTCCTCACTGCGCTGGTGAAGAAAGCTACTCATCATCGACTGCAGACTGAGGCAGCCGTGCTGGTGGAGCTGCCACTGCTCCTACCACCCCCACCCCTCCCCTGCTGCCATGGCAGCGGAACGCGAGCGCACAGGGCCCACAGTGTCTGAGGATGGACGTTGGCGCAGAAAGGCAGAGACCAACTGGACTACATAGGTGGTTTTTATAGTACTTTAATTTGGCGTCTCCCTCTCAGCAGGTGTGAAAAAGGCCACCATTTTTGAACTGGGGTAGCGAGGGTCCAACAAGGTGGACAGCCAAAAGTCATCCCTCTGTCTGATGGGTATTATTCGGCTGTCGCTACACAAGCAACCGAGCATGCTATGGGCCATTTGTGCCAAGGAATGCGAGGGACTCCCTGCCTCCATCTCCACAGCATACTGCCACAGTGCGTCTGGGTCCTCTGTCTCCTCCTCCTCCTCTACCAGGTGCTCCTGCTCCTCCACTCCTGTCCGCTGAGTGGAAAAACCACCCATTTCACTCAATAATTCCTGAGCACCAATGTCCTCCTCTACCTCCTCCTCTTCTTCCTGTCTGCCCCCACAGGGGTCATGTGGCGTTGAGATCTGTGCGCCACGTCTACCGCACCCTGACCAGCCATTGTTAACAGCATTTGTTCCAGGACGTGCAACAGAGGAATGACGTCGTTCATCCCATAGTCCTGCCGACTCACGAATAGCGTGGCCTCCTCAAAGGGCCTGAGCAAGCGGCAGGTGTCACGCATGAGCTGCCAATGGCTGACATCTAAGTTACACAGGGGAGTACCTTTATCCGCTTGTAACATCAGGAAATCGGTGATGGCCTTTCGCTGTTCGTAAAGGCGGTCTAAACATATGTAGGGTTGAATTCCACCTTGTTGCAACGTCACAGCATGAGGAGTCGGTACGGGGGCCCATGGCAGATTACGGGCCTGGCAGCAGCAATGGGAGGCCCGTAATCTGCCAGCACCCTATGACAAAATGGAACCACCAGCAGTGTGAGGAGAACTGAAAGTGGCACATGGCAGAGTGTGGCGATGGAGACAGCAGCAATGGGAGGCCGTACAGGGACCCATGACACACTCTGGACCTGGCAGCAGCATGAGGAGGCGGTACAGGGGCCCATGACAGATTACGGGCCTGGCAGCAGCAATGGGAGGCCCGTAATCTGCCAGCACCCTATGACAAAATGGAACCCACCAGCAGTGTGAGGAGACCTGAAAGTGGCACATGGCAGAGTGTGGCGATGGAGACAGCAGCAATGGGAGGCCGTACAGGGACCCATGACACACTCTGGACCTGGCAGCAGCATGAGGAGGCGGTACAGGGGCCCATGACAGATTACGGGCCTGGCAGCAGCATGAGGAGTCGGTACGGGGGCCCATGGCAGATTACGGGCCTGGCAGATGACGACGAGGCTGCCAAGTGCGATCAGCCTCATCATCATCAATTAGGGTCTCCGCCTCACTACTAGCCCCCTCGGCTGCGTGTGGGTCAGGAGACAGACCTGTCTCTAGACCGGCTACCGAGCCACTCTCCTCGCCAGTACTTCTTCGCCTGGCTGCTGAAGAGGCGGATGTCTCCCCCCGTTCCTGACCGCCCTCTGTTAGCTCTTCCTCACTGTACAGTGGGGCTGAGCCCACAGCATGCAATACTTCGCTTGGTGAGGGAACACCAAAGGACAGGGGCAGGTAGAGGACACGTGATTTCAGTGGGCTTGCTCCCGGGCCATGCCAACTAACGGTTGTGTCTGACGTACTCACCGACCGTTGGCTATAGGTGTCAGAGGTGACCTGGGAAGAGGAAGACGACCGAGCCAACCAATCGATGACGGCAGGGTTGTCAGGGGAGACACGACCGCTGGATGACACCGGGAGCACTGGCCTCTGGCTGCGACTAGTGCTGCCTCGACCCCTTCCTCTGCTGCCACGTCTGCTCGCTCCTGAAACATTGCCTCCTCTGCCACTCCTCTGCGTGTTGTCTGACATACTCTTTAATTTAACGATTCTGTGTCCCTGAGGAACGATTCTGTGTCCCTGAGTAACAATTCTGTGTCCCTGAGTAACGATTCTGTGTCCCTGAGTAACAATTCTGTGTCCCTGAGTAACAATTCTGTGTCCCTGAGTAACAATTCTGTGTCTGTCCCTGAGTAACAATTCTGTGTCCCTGAGTAACAATTCTGTGTCCCTCAGTAACGATTCTGTGTCCCTCAGTAACAATTCTGTGCCCCTGAGTAACAATTCTGTGTCTCTGAGTAACAATTCTGTGTCTGTCCCTGAGTAACAATTCTGTGTCTGTCCCTGAGTAACAATTCTGTGTCCCTGAGTAACAATTCTGTGTCCCTCAGTAACGATTCTGTGTCCCTCAGTAACAATTCTGTGTCCCTGAGTAACAATTCTGTGTCCCTGAGTAACAATTCTGTGTCTGTCCCTGAGTAACAATTCTGTGTCTGTCCCTGAGTAACAATTCTGTGTCCCTCAGTAACGATTCTATGTCCCTCAGTAACGATTCTGTGTCCCTCAGTAACGATTCTGTGTCCCTGAGTAACAATTCTGTGTCCCTGAGTAACAATTCTGTGTCCCTGAGTAACAATTCTGTGTCCCTGAGTAACGATTCTGTGTCCCTGAGTAACAATTCTGTGTCTGTCCCTGAGTAACAATTCTGTGTCCCTGAGTTACAATTCTGTGTCCCTGAGTAACAATTCTGTGTCCCTCAGTAACAATTCTGTGTCCCTGAGTAACAATTCTGTGTCCCTGAGTAACGATTCTGTGTCCCTGAGTAACGATTCTGTGTCCCTCAGTAACGATTCTGTGTCCCTGAGTAACAATTTCTGTGTCCCTGAGTAACGATTCTGTGTCCCTGAGTAACGATTCTGTGTCCCTCAGTAACGATTCTGTGTCCCTCAGTAACGATTCTGTGTCCCTGAGTAACGATTCTGTGTCCTTGAGTAACAATTCTGTGTCCCTGAGTAACGATTCTGTGTCCCTCAGTAACGATTCTGTGTCCCTGAGTAACGATTCTGTGTCCCTGAGTAACAATTCTGTGTCCCTCAGTAACGATTCTGTGTCCCTGAGTAACAATTCTGTGTCCCTCAGTAACAATTCTGTGTCCCTGAGTAACGATTCTGTGTCCCTGAGTAACGATTCTGTGTCCCTAAGTAACGATTCTGTGTCCCTCAGTAACGATTCTGTGTCCCTGAGTAACGATTCTGTGTCCCTGAGTAACGATTCTGTGTCCCTGAGTAACGATTCTGTATCCCTCAGTAACAATTCTGTGTCCCTGAGTAACAATTCTGTGTCCCTGAGTAACGATTCTGTGTCCCTGAGTAACTATTCTGTGTCCCTGAGCAACGATTCTGTGTCCCTGAGTAACGATTCTGTGTCCCTGAGTAACGATTCTGTGTCCTTGAGTAACAATTCTGTGTCCCTGAGTAACGATTCTGTGTCCCTGAGTAACGATTCTGTGTCCCTGAGTAACGATTCTGTGTCCCTGAGTAACAATTCTGTGTCCCTGAGTAACGATTCTGTGTCCCTGAGTAACAATTCTGTGTCCCTGAGTAACGATTCTGTGTCCCTGAGTAAACAATTCTGTGTCCCTGAGTAACGATTCTGTGTCCCTCAGTAACGATTCTGTGTCCCTCAGTAACAATTCTGTGTCCCTGAGTAACAATTCTGTGTCCCTGAGTAACAATTCTGTGTCTGTCCCTGAGTAACGTTTCTGTGGCCCTAAGTAACGATTCTGTGGCCCTAAGTAACGTTTCTCTGGCCCTAAGTAACTTTTCTGTGGCCCTCAGTAACAATTCTGTGTCCCTCAGTAACAATTCTGTGTCCCTGAGTAACGATTCTGTGTCCCTCAGTAACAATTCTGTGTCCCTGAGTAACAATTCTGTGTCCCTGAGTAACAATTCTGTGTCTGTCACTGAGTAACAATTCTGTGTCCCTGAGTAACAATTCTGTGTCCCTCAGTAACAATTCTGTGTCCCTGAGTAACAATTCTGTGTCCCTGAGTAACAATTCTGTGTCTGTCCCTGAGTAACAATTCTGTGTCCCTGAGTAACAATTCTGTGTCTGTCCCTGAGTAACAATTCTGTGTCCCTGAGTAACAATTCTGTGTCCCTGAGTAACAATTCTGTGTCTCTGAGTAACAATTCTGTGTCTGTCCCTGAGTAACAATTCTGTGTCTGTCCCTGAGTAACAATTCTGTGTCCCTGAGTAACAATTCTGTGTCCCTCAGTAACGATTCTGTGTCCCTCAGTAACAATTCTGTGTCCCTGAGTAAAAATTCTGTGTCCCTGAGTAACAATTCTGTGTCTGTCCCTGAGTAACAATTCTGTGTCCCTGAGTAACAATTCTGTGTCCCTGAGTAACGATTCTGTCTCCCTAAGTAACGATTCTGTGTCCCTAAGTAACGATTCTGTGGCCCTAAAGTCTCTCTGTCCCTAACTCTGTCCCTAATACAGACAGGTCTGTCTCTCTTGAATGACCGGAGGCTAATGGAGAATTGTAAGATGGCCGCAATTTATAGCTCCACCATTACACAGTGCTGGCTGGCTGGCTGCTGATTGGCTAATGCGATCACATGTCATGAATGAATGCATTATGGGTCAGCGCGCCTTGTCTGCGCGCCTTCCCAGAGATCCCCGCTCCGTCGCCACACATGTCACCGCCGTTTTTGGGAAAATTCGATTCGTGCATGCGAAGTTTGCTAATTTTCGGATTCGGCGCGAATCTAATTTTTCCTGATATTCGAAACAAATTCCACTTCGCCATGTTCGATTCGCTCATCTCTAGTAGCCTTTACTAGCGCTCTACTAACTACTTCCTTTCATTTAATCTTTATAATTTTTATTTTTATTTTTGAAATCTAAAACATTTGCTTTTGCATATGATTTCTTAAATTTTGCTCTAATATCATACCAAATACATTAGTGATCACTAGAACTCACATTTTCTCAATTTACTATATAAGCATTTAAACCTCTATTCAATCTGCACACAACACACCCTAAAATAATATGATGGTGCTTTAAATAGTTGCTGCTAAAAACACTGTTAGTGACTTAACAACACCTGTGCCAAAATGAATAACAATAAACTGTAGCGCAACAGACTAATATCTCATATAAAAATAAATAATAAACAATAATTAAAGTCCTCAGCTCCTTCTACCTAGGAGGAAGCCTACTGCGAAAGTCCGAATCTGGGCCGTAACACATATAGATGCCTATTGAGGAAGCCCAAATCTGGGGCGTAACGCATACAGGCCTACTGAGGAAGTCCGAATCTGGGGCGCAATGCATAAAGCTGGAAGGAGCTGAGCCCTAATACGTTTTGTACTGATGACCATCCGGGAGAGCGGTGTGGTGTATAACAAAATTATACATTATATGCTGGCTTGTTTCTTACATTTTGTAGGTGTTTTTAATTTGGACACTAATAAATTGTTTTAAAAAAAGAGAGCACTATGGTTCCATTTTTCTGTTTTCCATAATATATATTATATGAGAGCATCAGCTGGAGGAGTGTATACTGTGCCAGTGCTGGGAGAGGAGCTGGAAGGAGACCAGAGGGTGTACAAAAGTCTGTCCACATGTTGAACGCATAATGACCTATTGATGAGGTCATAAAGTGAGGTGAGCAGGTTTTTCAACTAATGGTGGTGGCACAGTTGGCACTGAAGAAGAGAGAAGATTTATCTTATACACATTGCACAGTGGTGTTATAAGAGACTTTTTCATGGAACTTTAATTATTGTTTATTATTTATTTTTATATGAGATATTAGTCTGTTGCACTACACTTTATTATTACTATACAAGCATTAACACAAAATATAACAACATAATAGGGTTTGGGTTCCCTAAACTGAACATCAGTTCAGACTGATTCACTGTTCAGATATTTCTCTGATTGTTCAGGGTGTTGATTGTGGACAAACATGACAGCTTCTTCCTGTCAAAGGTGTCTGCACCTTCTACATCCTTACCAACCACTGATGACACCCAGGCCATTCACTTACACTAAGCCACTATGGCTGTGTTTTGTTTACATGGCCAGGGATTCCCTGCAGCAAATGAATGGGGCCTGGTGCCATATCTGAATTTTAATGACATGTTGTTTCCCCAACTACAATTCACTGTGGAAGAAGGAAGCTGTCATACGTATATAGTGGTTGTGGGGAAAAACTCTACTACATATGACTTTTGGCTCCCATCTGTATGAAACCTGTATTGG